CCCCCGGGTGCTGGCCCGCTGCCGGGCTGGGGTAAGTTGGGTGCCCGGCGGTTTCCCCGGCTCCTTGCGGGAGCAGGTGTCCGTCCGTCCCTCTGGCAGAGGGGGAGGTGTGAGCAAGGCCGCTCTCCCGCGGCGGGCGGCCCAGGGGCCGGCTGGCTTTCTCGTCCCCTCTGTTCGGGGGTTTGGGGCTGACCCCCCCCACCCCGCGGTCCCGAGTGGGAGCGTGGGTTTCTTCACAAAACCTCGTGTTTTCTTTACAAAGGCATATTTCAGGCTCTGCATTGCCTAGCTGTGGCTGCTGTGTGTCATTTGTCCCCAGCCCATACGCTTATTTCAATCCCAGGAAGGAAGAGGGGAGCTTGAAACGGTTTGGATTAGTTTTGTTTCGGGGTGTGCCTAATCTTCTGGTGGTTTTGTGTTTCCTGAGGGGAAACTCTTGGAGAACAACTGTTTCTTTCCGCGCTGTACTTTGCTCTCAAGTTAAAAATAGGATATTTAGCTTGGAGATTTAAAGGTTGAACGTAACAGAAGATGAGGCAGAAATTAAAATTGGGATACACGTGACCCTTAGATAGGTGCAACAAGAATATGAATGATTTTGTGAAGCTAAAATAATGGTTTGCAATCTTTTTGCAGTTTGCCTAGAGTTTTCCTTATCATCTAAAGATCAAATATGGACCCTGAAGCTGAGATAAAGAAGCAAGTAAACCCTTTCTATTGCAATGTAAGTATTCCCTACTGAAAATAGTAACTAGTACAAAATAGTTTTGGTAGAACAAAGTTGGACTTAACCAAGTGTGATTTTTTTTTTTTTTTTCTCTTGAGCAAAATTGATAAATGGCACTGGAGTTGAACTTATTTTGCTGTTGTTGTCATGTTTGACTTGGATGTGTGTCATTTTTTATTTTTATATTTTAATAATATTATGTTTCTAAATAAAGGCATTCTTTTAAAGTGGAAGGTTAAACTGCACCTCCTGATCAGAAAAAAAAAAAACCCAAATTAATTTATCTGGTTCTGAGGTTTATTGCTGTTGTTTTTAAGCATCTTGGGTTTTTTTGAGGAGGAGAAAATATTTGGACTGCCTTTGTTCATTCACATGAAAGTAAACATAATCTGCTCCTGTTCTGAACCAGCCCAGGCATAAACCAGCTGTGGTTAGAAAACTTCCTTTGCATGTGAATGAGGCAGACCCCAAACTGATGAGAGTGCGTTAGTCTGGATGTAGTACTGAGGACAACTGGCTCATCTTAGGTGTATTGGCTTGTTACAATTACACCTTATCTCTGTTTCTGACTTGGTTAATAGTTTGTGAGGAAGATCTTGGATCTGTCTTTACTTATCCACACAAAAATGTGCAATGAGATAGTTGCAAGGTTCTTGAGACATCTGAAATTTTTATGTGATGAGGAGATCCCTTTTCATTACACTGTATTTGGATGGTCTTGGAGCCTCATACAGATGTCATTGGAGGAATAGTACTTTTGTAGAACTTACCTATACCGACATTTTGATAGCAGATTTTTTTTTGTTGTGCTATCAGTGGTATTTTTTTCTGTTGGTAGAAATTTTTCTGTTGGCTAGAAATACTTCTTCTCTTTAACCTAGATTTGCAAAATCTGGTGTGCTTCTGCATTGAACTTGCAGACTCACTTCCTTGGATTCAAACACAAGACGGTAAGATCAGTTTTTGAATGCACCTTTTGTCAGATTTTACAGATTTAATTAGCAACAGAATATGGGTTTGAAATCTAATTTTTAATGCAGTTAAAACATGCAATTTCAGATATTTAACTAGTTTTGTTGCTTTACTATTTTGTTACTGCAATAAAGTAGACCTTAGTTTTGTATATTAGTACTATCAGAAAATGTTATAACTTTGTGTCTCGTATTCTGGATTAGTAAAGGCAATACACGAGAATACGTGGCTGTTGATAAATGCAGAATGGAATTATTTAAATCATCGACAATCTAGGAAAAAAGATCTGTGTCACTTTCATGCTTCATGTAATTATCTATTCACCTGAGATAATCTGTGTTGTTGGTATTAATGTAACTGATTTTATAAATAAGAAAATGTTTGCAGTGTTGTTTTTTGAATCTTAAGTGTCTTTCATTCTTCTTTGTTGGTTGATGACTTGGTAACTTAGGTTGAAGAAGCACTGAAAGCTCATGGCATTGGTAAGTGCAAGATTTTTTTACTTCCTACTCTGTTCTACACATGCACATTCCCCTCCCCCCTCCCTTCCCCCCTGCAATGTAGTTGTTTATGAAACAAAGAAGAAAAAGCCTTTTTTGGGACTTATTCTTTAAGACTTGTCTTGTGTTCTTTTATGACGTAACTATCTAATCATACAGAAATCAATACCATGAGCAAGAGGTACACAAAGTTTCTTAAAAAGCTAGCTACAATACTACAAATCACCTACATTAAAGTTTTGAGAAAACTTAAAGGATTCAAGACCTTGGAGACCTTTAAGATTTAAAATATGTTTTAAAAACCTGTGCTTCTTAAAGCATGTAGAAATACTTTTTTTTTGTTTATACTTTGTTTTTTAAAAGAGCTTATTAAAAATATCTTAATTAGCTGAAGCAAAATACTTTTCATAGGTTTAATATATCCTTAAACTTCCCCCAGGTCTTTATGAACTGGTCTAGTTCCAGAAGGAATGAAGGTGTAACAATGATCGTTAATTGTTTTCCTTCTTCCATTTCATGATGCTCCAAAATGTATTTACAGGTTTCTACAGTGCACTGCTCCTAGAATTTGGTTTGAAAGTTGTGGCCCAAGTTATACATAGTCATTACACCTACCCAGTCTGGGAATTTTTGTACAACTGCAAAGGAAATTTAAGTGATTGAATACACACAGAATCTCACCTCATACAGATGCCTGTCTCTCTCCAGGTTCCTCAATGGCGGATAATGTTATGTGTTCATCTCTGTTTTACCTTTCCTAAGGTTCTGCAGCCCTAGTTGTATCAGATGCCATATATGGACAAAAAAAAATAATATTTGACCAGAGAGGGGATAATTGCAGACCTTCTGAAAAAGGCAGCAGGGTTATGGGCTAAGTCAAGTGCCCTGGGAAGCAACGTGTGGGCTGGCAGTTTAAGCACTTCAGATTCAGTGGATTTCAGCTGAATTGCTGTGATGTATTGGATTAAAGTAGCCCTGAAATTTATGAAAAGAAGCTTTGTTCGTTATAGAATAAAAGATAGTTGCACTGTAGTGCATCAGCCAGGCTTTTCCCTTGTTGCAGGTTGTGTTCTAGCTAAACTAAATTAAAGCCATAATTACTTAAAATTTAAACCACTATTTAATAATTTAATTTTGTGATGTGTGTTTGAACCCATGTTGTGTGCTAACTAGTGGCTTGATTGGTCTTCCTCTCTGCCTGCCTCATTGAATTGCTTGATATTAAATAACTTTGTCGTTGTTTGGTGTAAATGTTTTTTGTCCATTTTTTTGCCAGAAAAATCTCATAGCATATTCAAAACTAAACATAGCTTATTTTTCTCATGTCAACAAAAGCTCAGTTTTCTGTAAAAAAAAAAAAAAAAAAATCCATTATCATAACAAATTGGTTTCTATACTTATAACTTTATTTCCACTTCTGGTTTGTTTTTTATTTAGTTAAAACAGCAAGTGGCTCAGGGGAGCAAGTGAAAACACCTGTAAAACTTCCTGATTATGGTAAGAATGTTTAATGCCAAAAAAAAAAAAAAAGTGGAAGAAATAAAATGTTGAGGTACAGTGTTACAAGTGATGTCTAGACCTTCGCTGGTCATTGGGAATTCATTTCTGTTCATTGCATTTTCCATCTGCAGTAACATTTTGTAATAATACTTAAAACATAAAAAAAAAACCCCTTAAAATGTTTGCTAGCAATATGTTATAAAAAGTGTGAAAATAGGACTGGGGAGATAATATTTCTTAATAATTTACTTTATTTGTGATGTGGGGCCATGTATGAGCAGGGATTCACTTGAAAGTGAATTTCTCAG